CCCAGGGAACAATCCAACCTCCCTCACACAGACATGCAATGGCAAGACAGGACATAACCTCTCTTTTCCATTTCCTGATGGCATAACCAGACAGTTAAAAGATCTCAGAGATTAGGAGCCAGGGATGCACAGGTGCAAGGAAAGAAGCATCCTTCTTCCCCATCAGGAGAGGACAGATTGCTCCTGCCATACACAGGCCACAGCAGCCTGGTCTTTGACACATTTCTCTTCTTGCAGATTGTCCAAGATGAGGTTACTGTAATCACCTGAATTAGCTGCTGCACTGAGTAACTTGGCAGATGCAAGCACACAAACAAATTCTGCCTCTGAAGCCTTACAGACAGTCCTCTGTTGTCATTCATGTTCTGTGTCTGCTCAGCTTCAGACAGTACAAATCAGACTATTTCTGGTTGGTGAGTCGCTGGTCATCATTTTTACTGTTTTATGTCGCCACTGCTCACACACATAGGTGCCAGTAAACAAAAAAAACCCACCCATCCACCCTTAAGTACACCCACAAGCCTCAACTGCTCCAAATGGCCACAAAGAGCAAATACACAATCATCCTGCCTGTACACAGATCATGCCACCAGCTTTAGTGGTGTGGATATTTAAAACTACCTTTTCCATTTCCCTTCTTTCTTCTCTCTCTCTGTGCTTTTCCAGGTCTAGTTGAGTTTGGTTATGAAGCACTGGATTCATTCATACATCAAAGAGAAATCGAAGGCATTAGAGCCCACATAGACAAAAAACAAAGGCACAGTTTACAAGGCAGAAACTTGCTGAGAGAAGCAGCTGAGTTTTGCAAGGCTCACCCACTGACTGCCCCCTTGGAGGTACATCAAAGAGTATCACTTGCTCCATACAGTCAAACATTTTTCTTTCAAAGACTCCTAATATAATGGATTATTTGTATTACTGTAGTAATGAAAAGTTCCAGCCCTGACCAGTGCCCCATACAGAACACCTTCCCCTTTACTGATTTTTGCTGGATGAGAAATAGTCCAGCTTTACGGGCACAGAAGGCTCTGTGGGCTAATCTAGATGAAATTAGGCTGGAAGGAGCCATTTCCTACCATAGCATCTCAAAACTAGGCATCCATATTAAGGATGAACCTTCCCTTTTCCAGGGTCTGTACTGAGTCCAGAAAAAAAATCTTTATTATCCTGATGAGTTCCTGTCATAGTCATTATATGCTTAGACTAACATATATTTGGCCATATTTTCGAGGTCCTATCTTCTATTTCTCATTTAAATAATAAATGTTTTATAATAATAAAACATTATATATATTTATAATAAATGTTTTCCTTTTTGAGCAGGATCAAAAGAGACTCTGGCATGGGAAGGCACAGGCAAGCTGGCTGTTTCATACACAGGACTGCACTTTCCAAGCCAAGTGTGGAAAGCCATGGCATATTCAAAACCCATCTTCTCTCCATCTGGCAGAGCAGGAGCTCAGTATCCTTCCTATCTTGTAGTTTCACCAAACACCAGTCTTTGTCCTTTAGCATAGACTTATTAATTATTTTTAGAATTTTGCTTTTGTTTGTTTTTGCGGTGTTTTTGCATCTATTCCAGGCTGCATACAATGCATCCAGTATTCTGGAAATACATCCTGACATAGGGACATACTAGGGAAGTACTAACCCTGACATAGTTAACATAAAAAAAAGAGGGGATAAGTATTTTAAATAGCATTCATCTCGCAGTTTCCATACAGTATGAGTATTTTTTCTTCATTCTGGATAAATGTTTTAGCAATTAAGTGAAAAAACACACAAAAATCCTAACCTTGTTGCTCCACAACTACAGAGTGCCTTGTACTGCAGAAGTACAGTGGACTTCCAGTCCTTCAGATCTTTGCAAAACTTGGAAGAGCCCCTTGTCAGCCAGAAACTTTGGTTAGAAAGGTCAGGTTAGTATCAATATCAACAAAAAGCCCAGCTCTGATCACAACTTGGAGGAAGTAGACTCAAAGAACTGTAAGGATTTTGTTGGTACTATCTGAGCCATAAATGAGAACAAAATGGAGGGCACAGTTCTGGATGGCCTTTAGAAATTTGTTGCTAGTTATATCAGATATATAATATTGGCTTTCCTATTAGACTTGATTTTCTCCACTCTTGGAAACACAAAACAGAGTGTTTAAACTCAAATAAATTCCCTTAAGTTCCCTTTTAAAATGTGTATACATTAATTTAGTTTACAGGATAATAGCTTTATTCTAAGAAATGCATAATAAAGTCTAGTTCACAGAATATGATTCCTAAGGAATATGTTGGAGGACAGCACAGACCACACCTATGCCTGGTGACTGCTCACACTGAGAAGGGCATTGCTTACCTATGCCTTCTTTGGGAGAGCTGATTACTGCTGGCAGGGATGGGGATGGGGATGGTGTGTTGGCTTCACCGTGCTAGGTCAGTGAGCAAGAAGATTTGAGGCTTATGCAGAGCTTGCACTTTCATCAGAAGCAAGATGCAACAAATAGCTCTGAGGAGCAAATACAAGGAATGATGAAGAGGAATAAATGTTATATATAGAAAAAAACTGTAAGCTAACAAAATAGTTATTTCACAGTTTAATGATTCTAAAATAATCTGAAAGGTTTTAACAAAAATCTCCACCTTTGATTTTGGCTATCACAGAACCCCTGCTGTGCCTGTGTGAGACTTCCCACGATATCACAGCAGACATTTCTTTAAGGAGATATTCAGAGAAGAAGAGCTTTTCATATGTTCATTAAATTAAGGCAATTTACTTGAAAAGCTATAGAGTGAAAATAGTGATCATGTGAGGATAAAGTACCCTGAGCTAGAACAACTGGTATAAGGAGAAGAGCAAAGGGGCAACAAAGCATTTTGAACTATTTTGCTTTGTGAATTAGGTCCTGTGGCTGGGAGGAGAACCCAGCAGAGTTTGAGTGACTCTCACTAAGAGGCTGCTGCTGGACACAAAGGAGAGCAGCAGGCAGCTGCAGCAGTGGGAGCCCAGGCCAGCACCTCAGCAGCTGGATGTGCTGCTCCACTTCAGAGATAGACACAATCAGAGAAAGCAAAAAGAGGAAACTACTTTTTATTTCATCAGGAAAAACTAATTGATATCACGGAAATATTATTAAGGTAAACTGAAAAAATCAAATCCCATTAGATCAATATTTCTGTGGATGTCTAAAAATACAGGTGTTCCAACTTCCAAAAGCTTTAGGCCTTCTTTATTCAGTATTACAAGGCCAAGAGCCTGACAATTAAGAACCATCTTTTCACTCCTTACCCATAGAACTGCTCCTGGCCAGAGAGCCATGGGAAGAGCAGGAACAGGAGTGGGGGTCTATTGAACCCCTGCCCCTCTGTGGCACTGGACTGTAGGGGCCCATGATCCCTCTTCTATCCAAAACATGAGAATCAAATTCTCATTCTCTTTTTTCAAATATACACCCAAATCTTGCTCCATATGTATATCTAAAACTACATAGGTTATCTCAGGCACTTATTGTATTATATTTTACTAATCAGAGACGGATAGTCAAAATTCTCATTGTATCAGTTCTACTTCCTGCAATCATTTCTTTTATGATCTTTTACAAACTTGTACACTACAGCCCATGCTTTCTGTAGCATTTGAAATAAATCCTGTGCAAAACCGTTTTTCTTAAGAACAAATTAATACTTTCTATTATGGAAAGAAAATAAAAAGATACCAAATTGTTTGAATCTCCTCAGTGAATACAGCATATACTGAGCAAATGTGAAGTTATACATTGACTCTCCTCCAAAATTCTATTACTTGACTAAAAAAATCTGGCCATAAATATCTCAGTTATCCAAGACATATATATATACATATATATATATATATATATATATATATATATACACACACGTGTGTATATGTATGTATAATCCATGTTTAACAAAGTTGCATTTATAACACTTACCGTAGCTAATAAACATTTTAATTATTGATTTCAGCTGAAAAATTCCTGAGGCTGAGCATAAACAAAAGAAATAAGTATCTGCCTGAATGTTTTTATTCAAGTGTAGAGGTGAAGCTATAGATCCAAGAGATGGAAAAAGCAATTTGCTATTCTCACTCATATTTAGAACCCTGTTAGCGGATTTGTGGAAAAAAATGTCATACACTTCAAAAAAACTGGCCATGAATTAATGTTTATAGATTTTATTGCTTTTTCCACCTCTCTCTATTTTTATTCTTTATTCTTTTTAATAGTCTTAAAAAAACCCCCTAGAATTATAATTTTCTCCCTACAGATGCTGTCTTTTTCTATTAAACAAACATCGATCCCTTGCTTTTTCCCTTTTTTTGTTCCCCCCTCCCCTTTTGTTTCAAATGGATGTAAAATTATTTCAGATATCTTTGTGTTTAACATCAACAACTTCATTCCACATGGGTCTGATACAGAGTCCATAATAATAACCATTATCATACTGCTGTACATTACAAAAGACTTATTATTTTTCATTGCATAAGACTCCCTTTCCTATCATGAGTGGCCCTACAGGGAGCTCCAACCTGCTCACTGGGATGTATGAGGGAGGAAGCAGAGCTGATGATCTGCTCACAGGACCATACCCAGCACAGATGACCTTTCCCTGTGTGCAGGCCTGTTGGAGCATTCCCATGGAGCAGACAAACATGTATTGATGGCTCTGAAAGCCTGGCCAAATGTACTGTCACCAACAGATAGTGGCACATAAAACTTCCAGTTGATCTACTCCTGGAGGGTCTGTAGCATAATAAATTCATGCAACACAGTTCACTTCATTTAGTCATTGTGTTTGGGTTTTGCATTTGGCAAAGAGCTTGCTCTGAATCTCAGTAAGAACAGCAAGACACCAGTCCCAGCCAGAAGGGTTCAACTCTTCTCAAACAGTTTAGGTTGTACTGAAACATCTTTTCTTATATGAGAATCAGATCAGGGCAATTCACTCTTCCTATGAAACAAGTATATCATGTTCCTGGGCTTTTGTTATTGTTATGAAACTAAGCCAGGTATGATGAGCTCCACGAATAGAGAGTGCACAGGTTGCTGAAAGCCTAGTGTCCTGGTTTAGGGCAAATTTGGGGGAAAACCTCCGGAAGGAGCTCCCAGAAAGCAAAACCCCCACGATTCCTCCCCCCCCCCCACCGGGAAGAATTTCCTCAGAGGAGAGCGGGAAAAAAACCCTGTTTATTTAACAAGCAAAACACGCCCCAGCACAGGGAAAAAAAAACAACACCAGCTGACAAAAAAACTCTTTCACCGTTCTGAAGGGGATGACAAACTCAGAGAGTCTCTCTGGCGAGTGGTCGCCCAGTTATCAGTCTCTGGCGCTGGGGATGACTGCTGC